ACAGACAGCCTCTTCCCAATATGCGTTTTTGCAATTTACATAAATGCAAAAACGCATAAAAAACAGATACGCGGTAATGACACACACTAAGAAGAAGTAATGACATAGCTTTGCGTTTAGCAACGAACTGATGTGTTCGCAAAGATGCATGTTATAGCATATTCAAAAGCTCTTGTACTTCATCACAGTAATTTATAACCTATGTGGCGCGTGAAAAAAAAAATAACACTGTTTTTGGGCGCGGGAAGTAATTTCGTCAGCATCTTAATGGAAAATTTTTCGGACACATATGTTTGGAAGCTGATTTCAGGTCCTCATAATAAAATGATCCAAAGCTAATGGAGCTGAATTTTCAAAGCAAGATAATGTAAGGTTTTTTTTGGCTAATTTGAGTGCATTCATTTAGCATCAAATCAAAGTCCAGTCTGTGATTATATAATCAGTCCGAGCTTGGGTTTAAACTCACAAGTCAAATTACAATAAGCTTGAAAGCTGATCTGAAATTAACCAGCCAAATTTGTTCGGCGAGTTGAACTTCCGAGCTTTTCGCTTCATAGCTCTAGTCGTTTCTGAGTAATGTACTTAGCTTGAACTAGAAAGCTGAGGCAATAGGTTAGGAACAAAAGAAAACACAAATTGATTTGAAATTTTTGAAATACATATGTTTGTGGAATCGCTGACTGCAGTCCTCATATTTTATTTTTCCAACCTTCATTCCGCTAGGGCTGAATTAACCGGACTGGCAGCAGAAACAATTTTGCCAAAATATGTTCCTTGTACAAATCATGCAATAACGCATAAGAATACAGTAGTTTAAAGAACTCAAATTCAGATTTATATAACACATGATAATCAAGTCAGCAGGGTAAAAACAACATGGCGTGATGAATGAAAATTAAGTGAATCGGGGACATAAGTGAAAGCCATTATAAGGCAAGAACAAATTGTGGAATGGAAGAGAAGTGAAGATAAGTACTGATATTTCATCGATATATAACTTGAGAGGATGATGGCAGCAATACACTTAGGTGGTCATCGTCTCTTGAAAATTGATCTTTTTTTAGCAAAAACTTGCAAATTATCATAGTTTATTGCGAAAAGTTAATTTTTGCTGAAATTCCAAAAATTCATTGGCCTACGATTTTCCACAATTCCTAAGGGCACCACATTTGCATCACAGTTCCTAAGGGCACATATTCTTCTTTGATCAGGCAGTGGCGATCATGCAAAGACATTGATTAGTTACAGTAAAAGACTTGAAGCAGAAAAAGATGGCATAGCGTCTTTCGTACTAACAAAAATTTTGGCAACGCCCATAACGGTTCTAAAGGTTGAACGTTGAGGGCTTAAACAGATTTGGCGGTAACAAAAAATTTTTTTGAAAAAACAAACCATTTCTAAGAGCTCAAACTCCGAAAAAAACAATGAAGCACAGCACCGAGTAAACAAAGTAAGCTCAGTGTCATAGTACATAGCTGGGATGCTGAAAGCGCGTCGTGTCGGAATAATCTAGTGAAGATGAAGATGTATTCGGTAAATCGTTTTCACATTTTACCATCGAATTATCAAAGTGAAACGATGATTTTTGGTATGACAAATTGTTGTTGGTCCTTTGCGAGTATAGGTGATAGTAAGGCTCGGATGAGTAGGACTCAGAGGCACAACTAAACTCACAAATCGCGGGCATTTGATTTGTTAGTGGGTAGTGATTTTCCTGGGATGAGCACGGGCCACGGCAGTTCTGCTGTTCCTGGGTAACACTGAGAGGTTCGAACGGCTTGTTGCAAGTGCCTTGAAGCAGATCTTGCAAGTGCTTGATATATCTTGCCGCTTCACGAAGTGTTTCCACCTTGCTCAGCTTCTTGCTGGTTGCTGAGTGTGGTACCCGGTCGCGAAGATTTATAAATCCAATGTTCACCTAAACTGATAATCTCAATCGCTAATTTCTTTCTAAAGAAATAATATTTAGCGGACAGCACGCGATTAAGAAGAGTTAGCCTCATCCCTTGAAAATGGCAATTCAATAATAATAATAATAATAATAATAATAATAATAATAATAATAATAATAATAATAATAAAGTGAAAAAGTGACGTAAAAGAAAACTTACTTGCTGTACTCGTCTCCTTTCCCTTTCATTTCTCCTGAGCACCTGCTGCGGTAATTTATTGGTCACGCCGCCGGATCTCGTCTTCCTGAGTCGTACTCGAGACAGAGTATTGCCAGCTGTAGTATCAGGCAGTGAACTGACTGCATTTGGCATCCTCATCAAAACGTCTGTGATGCCTAGCTGAAAGTTCGTTCCGTTGAAGCTCTTCCTGACACTTGTATTCTAAAACAAAGCTTTTTTGGCGTAAAACTATCTTATAAATCGCATTATGGTGCTGCGCTGCTCGTTACGGTAGCGTGTTAGGTTCAGGGTGAACATCTTTCCACCACGGCCGCCAGACAATTTGTTATCGAGTACTATGGGTAACTTTCTTTTTTGGATGTGCAGAATCAGTTTTCTATTAAAGTGCTTCACTTCTTTAATCCTCGTTGATGGTAGTGTGAAAGGGAACATAATAAGAGAAAGACTACAAACAACCGCAACCCTTACATTCGGATCAAGCGCATTTGAGCTCGGCTATTTGGACACAACCTACTTTCGAAAACTACGACGGAAAACGAGGAGCGATGAAAAGATGAGGCCTGAAGCAAGCTCCATTTCCTCTTCCAGGAACCTTCTGGACTGCGAATAGCACTGTCGTGACCGCTGGTCGGTGGCCCCTCATACAGAATGGTCGCTGACCACGCCCTCTGCTTGACTCTTGCGTTCTGCTTTGATGTTTCAGTACTATAATGGCACACGCCCGTAGCCTCACTTTTTTTTGATTCAGAACCAGTTGTTTATTATTCGCTACCACAATTTACCGGGGTTGTTGTGAAGTGTAAATGGCGCAAGGGAGAGACGGGAGCTGATTAGGTATTTAGAATGATTAAACAGAGAGATCTCGAACACTCATAAACACATAGCATCCCTGAGAAAGCAAGCAATACCACTCGACTCTCAGTGCTGGAAAGCCTATCTTGCCGTAGTTTCCAGGCCTTGATCAGCTAAGTTATCTGCAAAATTTGAATAGGTTTTATGGATTCACATTGACGGTATAACTCGTATTCTCCGGGTTTTGCGGGAAAAGATGTCTTTTTGTCCTTCTCGGGGCCACTGCTAAGACAACATTCATCACTTTTGTAGGGTTCTTTTTTCTGGGTAGCAAAACATTTTGCTGTTTTCGAAAGGCCATTGAATCGTGGCTGAATTAATCTAGATTATAAAGCAGGAAGTTAGCATTTCTGCACTGTTGTTCTCTTCACCAATACGCACTTCTCAATACAACGAGGTTGATGAGCGCGCATGAACGCTTACTACATTCCGCTATACCCATACGCAAAAGCTGACCATATGTGGACATGCTCGGCTGAAAAGAGGTTAAAATAAGTGAAGCAAAAGTGAAGCAATCAATTTTAGCAAAAAAAAAGATGGAAAACCACAAGTGTCGCTTGCTGGAAGAAATGAGTCATCAGCGGATCAGTTTAAGCTTGAAATTTTTTCTCGTTCAAGCATGAATCATGAAAGCTCTGTGCCTTGGTAATTGCCCTCAATCGTTCCTCAACAGTCGAGCACTTCAACCAAATTGGCACATTTATGATCCTCTCTGCCGAGTTTCTCAGGCTGTAATTTACATAGCAGCAGCATCTCGCTCATGCATTTCATTTTTATGCGTTTTTGCATATATGCAAATTGCAAAAACGCATATTGGGAAGAGGCTGTCTG